CCCCAAAACCCCAAAACCCCAAAACCCCAAAACCCCAAAACCCCAAAACCCCATGTAAAGTAGAGAGATTTGAATTAGTCAAGCAAAGATTATAAAATGAGTTTAATTTACTTAATAGATCAAGAGAAGCAAGTAGGGCTTCTAGATGGAGATAAAAACAAGCTAGGAAATCTTTTCAAAGGAAATAATACTCCTAAGAGGATTATTTCTTCTTTTGATGAGATCCAGGATGGTGGTCATAGTGATTTGATAGAAAAGATCTCTACTAAAGAGGAGGAGACTAAGCTTCAGGACAATAAAGTTCTAGGCATTATCTACATGATCATTGGAGGCATTAGCTTCTCTCTTGCAGCTATCGCTTGCAAATTAGCTTACGAAAGGAATGACTATTTGACTGGATTTGACTACGTTCTATGAAGGTCCATTATTTTGCCTATTTGCTCTATATTCCATGTAATATCGACAAAAGTAAACGTCCTTAATGTCAAGAAGGGATACAGGTTCCTACTTTTTGTGAGATGTATTTTAGGTGGAATAGGTATGTCATGTTTGTTCATTGCTATGAAGCATGTACCTCTAAGCTTATCAATTCTTATTGTGAGTATAAATCCATTGTTCGTTGGAATATTTGCTTTCTTCATCCTCAAGGAATCTCTTACAAAATTAAACATGATCGGAGCCTGTGGAGCGTTCGTAGGAGTTTACTTGCTCACATTGCATAAAAGTGGAGGCAGCAAAGATATTCAATATTATTTTATGGGCATCTGCCTCGTATCTATTTCTTGTTGTTGACAGACTGGTATTAATATCTTACTAAGAATTATAAATAAAGAGCTTCATTATACTATGAGTCCATTCTGGTTCAGCATGACAACAATATTTATCTCAGGTTCGCTGCTGTGAATGCACCCAAGCGTGTTTAGCTTTGAGCACTACACATATTCTGAAATTTCTTTGTTTCTTCTATCAGGGGTCTTTAACTATGGAGGGCAGGTGTTCAAGTCACTTGCTTTTAAATATGCGGATGCATCTCTGTTGTCACCCTTGCAGTACTTCAACGTTCTCTATCTATTCCTCAGTGATATTGTCATCTTCAAGTCAGCATTTACAGCTATGGACAGCTTTGGAGGGTTAATCATCTTAGTCAGCTTATTATCACCCATATTTCAGGCTATTTGCAGCAAAAATTCAAACCAATAATTATTTTCAGAATCGGTCAGGAAAACGTCTTAAGATGTTCCTATATATTTTGAATCAATCTTAGCCGCTATCTCCGGGGTTTTGGGGTTTTGGGGTTTTGGGGTTTTGGGGTTTTGGGG